TAATCCTTTCTCTAGACTCAAAAACTCCAGCCCTGCACTCAAATAGCCAAATAAAAATACGTCTTGGCTAGTTTTCCAAACCTGGGACATTTTCCCTGAGAAAGCTAAGGTGGGCAAAAGCAATTAGCAGCACTTTCTTCCAACTGCCTAATTGTTAGACTGCTGGGTCAGAACTAAATCCGTGTGGAAGCTTCAAACAGGCTGTGGTAGTTGCTCAAAATTTTAAACATTAGTAATCATATGATCCAATAATTCGATTTCTAATTACATACCCAAGGGAACCAAAAACAAAACTACTAAAAACTTGTATACAGATGTTGACAGCAGCATTATTCACGGGAGCCAAAAGAAAGCCAAGTGTGGTGGCACATGTGTGTGATCCCAGCACTTGGAAGACTGAGGCAGGAAAACTCCTGAGTCTGAGTCCAGTCTAAACTACATGGGATCTTGTCTCAAAACAAACAAGCAAACAAACAAACCCCCAAACAAATGAAACACAGATGAAACACAAAAGACTACATATTGTAATGTTTCGTCATTCGAGATGTAGGTTAAGAGAAAGCAAATCAATATAGACAAATGATCAGTAGCTGCCAAGGCTGAACAAGGAAGACGAAAAGGAGAATGTCTGTGGGATCAGTGTTTTTTGAGGTTATGTGTGGTAATTCTCTGAAGTTGATTGTGGTAATAATTACATAACTCTGGCTATACTACAAACCCTTGAATTATGCGCTTTAAACAGGCAAACTGTGTGGAATGTAAATTATATATAAGCATTCATGAAAAGTTAAGGAGTCTTTGTGTGGCGGTGCATCCCTGTAATTTCAGGAGGTTCAAGCAGAAAGATCTTAGATTTGTACTCAGCCTGGGCAAAGTAGTTGAGAACCCATCTCAAAACAAAAAGGCTTGACATTGTAGCTCCATGTAAAAGTCCTGGGTTCAATTCTCTATGCCAAAAAAGGGGGCAGGGTTAACATGGTTTCATTAATTATTTAATTTTTCAAACTCATTCCTTAAAAAAAAAAAACTTAAAAGGTCACTAAAAGGAAAATTTCCTATTTGCTTTGTCAGTATAAATTTTAAGACTGATCCACAAAAAGAAAAAGGGAGACACAGACTGTAATGATTACAGCAGCACCACAAAAATCAGAAATCTGATTCAAAGCAAAGCAAAAGATGCACTTAAAAAGAAAATCCAGAAATTCTTACAGAGCCATTAGTAAGCCAACGAATACAACTACATTCTACCATGGAGTTCTATATGGTGTAATATTCTACAACTCATGTTGTAATAGGTTCAGCTTTCTGAAAGTGTGGGGGTTTTTTTTTGTTTTGTTTGTTTTTGAGACAGGGTTTGCTGTACAGTCAGCCCAGGCTGGTCTTGAGCTCCAGTCAATCCACCTGCCTTGACCTCCTGAGTGCTGGGATTGCAGTGGTGCACCACAATGCCTAGCTGTGGCAACATGTTTAAAAAATTAAAAAAAAAAAAAAAATTCCTTCACACAGCAAACAGCTTTTGAGATTATTTCTGAATACACTTCAATAAGGAAAAATGTTTATGATGTAATACTCCAAGCAAAATTAACTCATAGACAGCTTTACAGAGAATATTCTAATGATGTACAGTATGTTAAAATTGCAACAAAGGATACCTTTGGGTTGTGGAATTAATTATAGGAACCTTTTTCTTCTTATACTTCTCTATTTCCCAAATTTTCTATTATAAAAATGTATTTTTAATTAGGAAAAAAATCATAAACACAATTTCTACATATTCTCAAATACATGATAAATAATAAACATATTAATTATCACCAACTAGTAAACCCAGTTTTTAAATACTTGGATCAAGTCTGGTTGAGAACAGAGCCGGCATGACCTTAATCACCCAGCATGTTTTCCATACTACTTTCCCAAAACGTCAGTTTCTACTTATCCCATCTCACTTCCTCCAGAATAAAATCAGCACTTAGGGGTCTGAACAAAGTACCCCCAGATGATTCTGCTATATTCCACTCTTACCCTAACTCCTCAGAGAACACCTAAGGAAAAAGCATTTACTGAATGTTCTGGGTTACTCATACAAACTGGCACCAATTTAATCAGTTAAGAACACTATAATAAGCCACAAGAACGTGGTAACAGGGTTACTATAGGGAATAAAGTGAGAGAAACTTTTTGATTTTTTAGGTCTAAACAAACCAATAAAATATAAGAAATATGTACTATCCAAATATGGCATCAATATTTTTGTTTTACATTATAAAAAGCATGAATTTATTAAAATGTTTTAAAAGTTCTCTGAAATATAGCACCAATGATATACCCACCTGAAAATGAAAATACAAACTCCCAAAACATTTACTAAAAGTGTACACTGTATACCTGACTGCTAATTTGATACAATAAAAAAGAAAAACCAGGAATATGTTTCAGAACTATAATAAACTTTTAAAAAAGGAAACCAATTTCTGAATTTTTTACCTCAATGTTGAGAAATTATGGCTGTTTTTAATGAACACATTTTTTTTTTATCGGTACTGGGGATCGAACTCACGACCGCCTGCTTGCAAGGCAGGTGCTTATGCCACTGAGCTAAATCCCCAGCCCCAATTAACACATTTTTATGATACATTATATATATGTAATATTTCTTTGGTACTGGGAATTGAACTCAGGACCTTGTGCTTGCCAGGCATGCATTTATGGCTATATCCCCAGGCCCTGTAACAATGTATTTTAAAGTATATGATAAAAAGGTTAAATCTAGGCTAATTCAAAATTGTGTGCAGTTACTATGTTTGTGAGGAGAGTAGGAAACTGCAGTTACTCTGTCACAATATGTACTGTAATCCCTTGTATGGTACTTCTACTAGGTAGCTTTACAAAACAGCATTCCTTTGAGTTAAATTTGCAATGTAACGCAACTGAAAACCAAAGTAGAGTAGAACTTTGGGGACTAAAAATAATTCTTAGAAGACCCAAGTCTCCTTTGCGCAAGTCTTTGAATAGGTCTAGAGCTGGGGAGGGTAGGCCCTTTGGATACCTAAGTAGTCTAAGGACGCTTTGTGGAACTAAATATTCTTATGCAGGATTAAGACAAAATAAAATTTTTAAAGAAAGGAGGCTAGGAAAAAAACTAGAAAGTCACTTGTTTAGACTGGGAGCTCCTTCAGCGAAGACTGCCTTATCTCGTGCCTGGCACAGAGTACTACAACCACCACTAATAAAATTGAAAGAAAAATGTGTCTAGACTTGAATTTTTACCAAAAGAAAGAATAAAGATTATCCAAAACACACATTCAGTGTGAATTCACAAAAACAATGAAATCACTTAGGATACTTTTCCTATGCCTTTTTTTAAACAATAAGCTTGACTTCACTAGTAAAGTTTAAGTATCGGTAATCATAAAAAAGTTGTATCTGACTTAAAAGGCTCCAGACCAAAAATTTAAAAATACACGAGAGGAATGTACAGTTATATGCCTATAAAGCATATCAATATACATAAAATGAGATGAAATACAAATAAGGTTTAAAATTTTTCAAATTTACAAGTTTAAAATATAAAATTAGCTGTAAGCTTAAATTTCTCCCAGAGTAACCAAGATCCTTCGTACAGCAATGCCCCATCACTATATACTATTTTTCAAAACAAATTTCTCACAGACCAGAAAAGATGTTCACAACTGTTTAAGGTATTTAGGGAATACACTGCAAGCGAATAACCTGATAATAAAAAGATGGCTAAGAGTTCCAAGTAAAACTTTTGGTTTTTATTCAAAAAAAATTTTTTTGGTGGCTCCGGGAATCAAACTCACGACCTCGTGCTTGCCAGGCAGGCAAGCACCTATGCCACTGAGCTAACTCTTCAACCCCTTTTTATTCAATCTTAACTGTTGGAAAGCTCTTACATCTGGAGCAAATGCAACAATTTAGTTACACAAAGGGTACCCACAGAACTGATGTGGTTTTAGTTATCAACGCATTAGCTAAAAGAAGGTCCTCCTCCCAAACAATTTTCTGAGATGATTTTCCAAATATAAAAGACGTAACTGCCTCACTCTAATAATCTTCAGAAAATGTGAAAGCGGGGAATACGTACAGTGCACAAGCAGTCCTTCCAACATGTGTGACGAAGAACTCTAAAATGTTTCAAAAGGCTTAAATTCTTCCCTACACACAGAACAGTCATGATGAAAATGCTACAGCACAGGTTCCCTCCGGCAGAAGACTGCGTTTAACTCCGAATAAAATCCGACGATGAATTAATACCTTTAACCGACGGCCTCTCTTTCTCTGCCTCTTCCCTTTCTTACCCCCTTGTGGCCCTAGTAACACCGAAAACACGAGGGCCTGGAAACTTCAAACGCTGCTAGCACACTTGGAAATACCTTTTTCTGCCTAAAAGAGGCTTCACCACGGGCCTTTATTAAGTTTGTGTAGAAATTAAATTGCTCAAAACCGGTTAAATTTTCAAGACCCAAAGCCAGCGTCTTTTCAGTCAACACACGTACAGATTTCGTATTTCTTAAAGAGTTACCTTCAAACCCGACCAAAGATTCTTTTTCGCCTTTTTGTGATACCAAGTAATAGTGGCGATCGCCAACATCATCCTTTCCGTAAAAAGACTCCGTGCTACACGATCACGTTAAAATGCAGAAAGGATGAAACAAACCTCTAAGAAAGATTTTTACTGAAACTCCCGTTCACAGAGGCAGCGAAGGACAAGGCACAAAGAGGAAAAAGCAGCACACATTCCACGGACGCACAATGCCCAGAGGCCGGCATCCTCGCCCCCTCCCGGGGGTCACCGGAGGCCGGCACGCACGGCTCGGGGAGCTCGCGGCCCTGGGAAAGGCCGGCCCGCAGATGGGCTCGGCGGCCGCGGTCCCCGACCTCCGGGCCCCTCCTCGCCCCGGGGCCCTTGTCTCGCGGGAGCCCAGGGACCCCTCGGCACCGCGGCCAGGGCAGCGCGGAAAGCGGGGCGCCCCACTCACCCTCCAGCAGGCGGGTGATGAGGCTGTCCACGTTCAGCTCCCCGTCCGCCATCTTGTCGGCACCAGACTCTCCTTCCCGGCAGCGGGAACAAGGGCTTCTCGGCGGCGGAGGCTGCGGCGACGGCTCCGCGTTCCCTCACCTACAAGTCACGCGGCGTTTCGACCCCGGCTCCGACTCCCCCCTTTCTCCGGCCCTCCCCCCACCCCCTCCCCGCCGAGCAGCGAGAGCGCGCGCACACTCGGAGTGGCCCACAGTAAATAAATAAATAAACAAGCGAGGGGCCCCCCACGAACCGGGCCGCGTCAGACCCAAGCCGCCACCTCCTACTTCTTCTCCTCCTCCTCCTCCACCTCCTACTCCTCGGCACCGCCCAGCTCCGCAAAGCTCACCAGCGCCGCCGACTGCCCCACCCGCAGCGCCACTCACTCTGCGCGGGCCTTGGCCGCCGCCGCGCCACGAAGCCTTCTGCGCAGGCGCGCGGCGCGAAGTCTTGCGCTCCCCGCCCTGCTCGGGCTTCTGCGCAATCGCAGTGGACTCAGTTGTCCCCTGCTGCCTCGGTCTGCTCACACTTGCATTGCCCTCCCTCCGCAAATCTACTGCGCAGACTCCCTGCGGCGGCGCAGGCGCGGGGCGGAGCCGGGCCCGGGATGCCCCGCCTAGGAAGCTTCGTTTACGCCGAGTGTTCTGAGGCCGGGTTGACCTTCCGCTTTTTCTGCTCCACCGGGCCAGCTGCTTGGCAGGCGTACTGCCTCGCTTTTTTTTTTTTTTCTGGCATTATTCCAGGTTTTGCAAATAATTCTTTATGCTTTTTTTAGCTAGAAAACGCGGACTTGCAATTGCCTGTGTTTGAAACTCAGGCATGTGGGAAGCAGGGACTCTGACATTGAAACTAATAGGTTCTGTGACCTGTTGTCCCCCAAGGTTTATCCCCCAGGTGATCCTGTCTGATATAGTAGTTACAGTGGATCCTAGAAAATCAACAGTAGAACAGTTTTACGTCTTTTCTGCAGTGCTTCTTCACGTGTCTTACGTTTCCACCTGCTCTCTGGGTACCATTTTCTAGTGTTCTGTTCATACCTCCATTGTGTTGCTTAATCGCCCTAGCCTGTAATTGTTTAGGCATTCATCTCCAGGCTCACTCAGCTCCTACAGGATAAAAACATCTTTTTGCCCGCAGCACCCGTCAAGTATCTAGCACATAGGAGAGAGAGATAAAGAGGAACATGAGAGTTTGGAAAGGTTAGTGGACTAGCTTTCTTCCCATCATGTAATACCTCCTCAAGAAGAGAAAGAGAAAGCAGAGCCGTCCAAAGGATTCAGCCAAACCACAGAATGTGACCTGTCTCAGAAAGTGGTCAGGATACAGGCCTTTACCCATGTCATGGGTGCCATGGCGAACTCAGACAATGAAGCTGCCCCAGACCCAAGGTAGTGTGTCCCCCACTAGCATGTCACTCATAATAACTAACATTTACTGTGAGTCCTGTGTGTGCTCTGGCACTGTTTCAGGTGTTATTACACATGTATAATCCTTACAACTGCCCCTTGTGGAAAGTTCATTATTTTTACTCTCTAGATGGTGCAGGATGGTTAAGTACTGAACCCCAGATCACACAGGTTAAGTAAGCAGTAGTGCGGGGTTTCAAAACCAGGCATCCAGTGTCAGAGGCTGTGTTCTTTATTTTTTCAGTGTGAGAATCCATCCCCGGAACTACGCCCCCAACCACAAACCCACACTCTGGCCAGTTGCAGTGTATTTCCTCTCTGTGTGTGTGAGCTCAGCATGCTTAAACATGCTTATGCTTTGTCATGCGCTTCAGGAGTAGAAACTGTAGAGTTTGTTTGTTTTAGAGTTGTTCAGTCAACTGCTTTGTAATGTACGGATGAATTATAGAGCTAGGGTTTTGTAGGGTCTTTTTTTCCTAGTTATTTCTCCATTTTATGCTTTAGTTTGTATACTAATGACTATGTTAGACTAGGTTAGGTATAATGTTGATCCTGTCTGAAATAGACTTAAGAGACTGGAGTGATCTGTAAAAACTGCAAGTTACAGTCATTTCATTTTAGGACCGGTAGGGGAAAAAAAGATCATTATCCCTGTTTCCTTTTTTGTTGAAGTACATTTATTGATACCCAACTTCATTCTAGAAGAAAAGAAATAAGGTAGCTTACATAAATGCACACAGAAGGGTAAATGAAAAGTAAGTACAGAAAAAAATTAGAACAAAATAAAATTGAGAAGAGGAAAGATAAGATTAAGGCAATAGTTTTGTATGTACAATGCATGGTGTAAAGTCCCCTTGGATGGCTGTGCATGGGCCATAAATATGACTTTCAGCTTCTTTTTTTTTTTTTTTTTTTTGTCTTTTTCCTTTTTATCAATACCAGGGATCAAACTCACGACTGCCTGCTTGCAAGGCAGGTGCTTATGCCACTGAGCTAAATCTCCAGGCGACTTTCAGCTTTTTAACAAGCATGGAAAAGATTAATTACTAGTGGAGTAGGTGTTTTGACTGAGCTAGAAATGAGAGTTGAGCATAACAGCTTGTAGAATTAGATGCTACTTCCCAAATTGCTTCTATGAGCTTCCTTTGGAGAATGGAATGCTTGGGAATATCTAGTTTTCTACTTCTCCTCTAATTTCCATAGGACCCACAAGTCCCATAAAAAAGAACTCTGAATCCTGCCCACAATTAAGGTTCAAATGCATGCAGATTTGTTCTTTAGCCAAAGAACACACAAAAGAAACTGGGATCTGGGCATGGTGGTGCCTGCTTGTAATCCCAGCACTTGAGAGGCTGAGGCAGGAGGATCATTGCAAATTTGGGAACATCCGGGGCTTCAAAGTGAGCTCAACACCAGCCTGAACTGTATAGCAAATCCAAAAAGACCGAACCAAACAAAATAGCCTCACCCCCTCCCCAAAATCCCCCAAGGTCCCCCAAAACAACAAAACAAAACAAAACTGGATTGTGAGATGGAAAGCATGTATTAGAGAATAAATAAGGAAGAGCAGGGCAGAGGCCAGTCTTTGCAGAGTTACATGAGCCCCTGCCTGTTGCTGTGCTCTTCTCTACCCTCACCACGTTTTCCAGGGAGAAAACTGGACATCATGAAAATGAAAGATCATAGGGGGCGGGATTTAGCTCAGCGGCATAAGCACCTGCCTTGCAAGCAGGCAGTCGTGAGTTAGATCCTCGGTACCGGTAAAAAGGAAAAAGACAAAAAAGAAAATGAAAGATCGTGACAGTAGAGGCCCAACTGACATTTTTTTTTTTTTTTTTTGGTGCGACGTCATGCTAAAAAAAGAAAGAGTTCAAGACTTCTTCACATTTTGAAGTCAAACTGATACACCAACAGCTAACAACCAGATTAATGTCCAAAAATGTCTGTAAAGGGGAATTCCTGATTGTTATATGGACTTCCTGGTTGCCAGGGGCTTGGGACATCATATTTTGAGGTGTTAATAAAATTGTAATCTTGGGTGGGGTGTTAGCTCAGCGGCGTAAGTGCCTGCTTGGCAAATGTGAGGTTGTGAGTTTGATTCCTGGCACCGAAAAAAAAAAACCTCAAAAAAAATTGTAATCTTATTCTACTAGTAGGTAATGGGGACGCCTAGTTGCCAGGGGCTTGGTACATCATATTTCGAAGTGTTAATAAAATTGTGATCTTATTCTTACTAATCGGTACTGTGTGAGTCACTCAAGTACCTGTTAGAAAGAGGCAGAGCAGTGCTCAGAGAAATCCAGTCAGCACCAGAGAGATGTCCCCATGTGTCATCCCGCAAGAAGATTTTGCAGTCCAATGAACAGAAACCTTATGACCTTTCATAGTAAGCACAGCAAAGACTCATTTTCTTTTTCTTGTATGCCTGTCAATATTGGCCCATCACTAATATGGTGTGAAAAATAGTACATATGGGTAGAAAAATGCAGAGGTCATGATACCCTAACTTTTGCTGTCCTGGTTTAATCAAATTTTTTTTGAGTGAGTGAATCAACCATATAATATACTTTCCATCAATGCAATTCCTCTCAGTCAAATCTTTTAATAAGTCTTGGGTGACATTAAAATTAAATTTTATTAGATATGCCTGGAGGGCAGCCATTCTTTTTATCGAATATCATAAGGTTTTGTAGTCATCTCAAGTCAAGAAAATCCAGACCATGACTTGTCCATACTGTATTAGAGGAAACCATCTTTCTCAGTACAGAGCTAGTGCTACATGGGTCAAAAGTCAGGGAGGACCAAGAGTTTTGATTCCTTTTCAGGATACATGTAACAGAATATTCAAAGTGTCACAGTTATCAGCTAAACCATAAGGCATATCCCTGGTCAGTTAGCCCAAATGTGTTTTGTTTTGTTTTTGAGACATAGTCTCACTGTACAATTCAGGCTGGTCTTGAACGCACTGTGTAGCGTAGGTTGACCTTGAACTCACGAGGATCCTCATGCCTCAGCTCATCTAAGTGCTGGGATTGCAGGCATGAGCCGCCATGCTGGGCTCAAACATTTTTATTAATTTTTTCCAGCATTTTTATTGGTGTATTTTAGATATACATAATGATAATATTCACCATGGGGAATTTGTACCTGTGCATCTTCTTTTTTTCTCCACATACCCCTCTTCTTTTCTCTTCCTTATTTACAAAAGTTTTGCTTTCATTTTTCCCTTCTATTTTCTCTTTTTTCTTGTCCATTGCTTCCCCTCCAATACCCGCCACCTTGTTCACCTTCTTGTTTGAACGTTTCCTCCCATTTCTCAATATCTATTATACATTTTGGTCCTTATTTACGCTTTTGGCTTTTCAAACCAGAGAAACAATGTGGCATTTAACCACCTGTGTCCGATTTACCTCACCTAAGATATTTCACTGTAGAGGTTCTTCCTACCCAAGTATGGTCTCAAGGTGTATTCTTTTAGCTAGGAATGTATCAACCTTATCTTCCCCTGAGGCAGAGTAGTACTTCACTGTATGAAAACCCCACATCATCTTTATCCGTTCATCTGTTGATGGGCATTTGAGCTGTTTCCAAGATTTAGCTATTGTAAAAGGTGCAATTATAAATGTGGGTGTGCATATATCACTGTGGTATGATGCTTTTGATTCAGGAAGATATCAAGAGGTTGAATGGAATTTCTAGTTTTAGGGTTTTTTAAAATTTTAAAATAAAATTTTAAAATAAAAGAAAAGGGATCATACAGGATTTCAAAACAAAATAATAAGAGACTATCAATGGTTACTATATTGCGTATTTTTTATCTTCATAGTGGTTATTCAGGCCAAGGAATTTCCCTGGTAATTTCTATAGTAGTTGCACCAGTCTACATGTCCCACAGCAGTAGGAAAGGGTTCGTTTTCCCCCTACAGCCCTGCCAGCATTTTTTTTTTAATTTTAAAGAGGATAAAACTAAGGAAAACAAAACAATAAAACCGATCAAAATAACCAGTGTTAAGTGATACAGGACTTTCAAAACCTTACAAAATCAGCAATAGTTATCATAATGCCTTTTGTCATCTT